AGAGTGGCGAGGAATGTTATCGGAAAATAACTTTTTAGTCGTCACAACTTAAGGGGCATTACTTACCTTGCCTTCATCTGTAAGGTCGTTAAGCATCAATGGATCGCTTCCTTGCGAAACCCTTTCGTGTACAGGCGCACAATATGCCCGGGAGGCCTCCCCGTTGAAGCTAAGCACCAACAATCAGATGCCCCCAACGGCATCCAAGCCCCCAGTACCAGCAGTGGTACCAGCCTTGGTGGAAACAGAGCCATCCTCAAACATCGATACCACAAAGCCGCCGCAATTGCCATGGCTTCTTCAACATCCCAATCAAAGCAACATTGTCGCCACTAGACAGACGTCTCGCAAACCGCCGGGTCTTTCCGCCGGAATTTTCACCTCCTTTTACAACGCCCCTGCCCCTGCCGTATCGAGGACCCTGCGTGATCTGGAAGGCGTGGATTTGCCCCTGTCCTCAACAGACATATTTCCTGAAGCCTCTGCGACGACTCGATTGGGAGAGCCGATAATAACTCTTCGCGCAGTGTGATCAACGGTCTTTCCCGGGTTGAGAGGCTCATCCGAGAACGGCATTTTCTAGCAGTGAGAGCCTGTGTATCCCGGGGAGCTCTGCCCGCTCCTTGAAGAAGGCGGGCTGGAACAGCTTGGGAGACTGGCCCAGTCAGATGGATCATCTTTGAGGGCCCAGCTAAAAGTCGAAATATGAGCCGTGGGGATCTTCTTCGCGGAGGAGGCTGCCCGGGAAGGCTAGACTACCGAGGACAAGATTGTCCGCCCGGCAAATCATGTCCAGACACCCTGTTGACAGAATCTCGCGTCTCGACTCTGGTTTAGGTCAGTTCAGTCTCAGATGTGAGAGCCAGCTCTTGATGCAGGTTCCAGGTCTTCGGCCTCCCCATAGCCTACGACGCCCTCAAGCTTCTCAGCCATCTTCCGAGCCTCACTGCCGGACAGCCGAGAGCGACTCCGAGGCCTCCAGGAGGGCTGCATTTCGCGCGTCCTCGGTGAGCGACGTCTTTACCATGTGCAGTCAATGTCGAAGTAATTTTACGCTGAAATCGACAAAGGCCACGGCAGATGCGGCAATTGACGTTATGATGAGCGAATCCATGCGCAGGGGCAGGTCGCTCCTTGGCGCCGGGTGAGAAGAGAAAAAAGATACTTGCTTGTGAGACTGTCGCGGCAAAACAGGAATCGGCGGAAAAGACGCCCAATGGTGAAACCCCGCGAGCTCTAATGTGCAGAATTCTGCCTTGGATCCCCCCCCGCGCGATTGACGACGAATGGTGCGCGAACCTCACATCCAGAGCACTGACAATCCATTAAATCCAGAAACGGGACAAACAGTTAGGTGCAAAGCAAAATTGCTAGGTAGGGCAAAAAGATATGGATGCACCGCGGATCGAACGCGGGACCGTCTGTAAATCAGTGCAGATGAGGCATTGCAAAACAGAAATCATACCACTAGACCATGCACCCGAAGATTCTTGTTGAACGATTGGTGGAGTTTGTTTCCCATACCGTCCGGTTAGGCTGCGGAGCGTCACGGGACTTGAACTCAACTCTCTCCACACTTGACATCACGGCAAACTCTTTTCAAGGGGCTCACAGGCTCAAAGACAAACCTTGGCTAAACAATCAATGAGAATGAGCATGATCAATTTTATTATGCAATGCATGGGTGAATCTAGGCAACTGTTGTCTAGCTACCGACCTGAAGACTAATACGCCAACCGTGCTTCCTGTATTTGTTGTACAACGAATTCATCGTCTTTGCGTCCCTGTACCTGTGCTGTCCGTCTCAATCAGATCCGTAAATTCCCAATTGCAGCTTCAAATCAGGAACGCAGTGCATCGTGGCTGCTTGCGCACCTGTGCAACTATGGCCGAGAATCATCAAAACGCCTCAAACCTTCATCCTCGGATAACCTCATTGAAATATGCTCGCACTCTCGTGTGGGTCGTGAAGAAAGAAAACACGCTCGTGTCGTCTCATGCAATCTCATGCAATCGTATATGTTGCCCGATTGCTCGAAGGCTCGTAATGTCTAATGTCGTGAAAATGAAATGGAAGTGTTAATATCATCAACTCAGGGGCAACCCGCCGCATTTGGAGTATTATGCTGTGGCGCCGTCTCGTGAATAAACTCGGCCGCCTTGGCCGCCTTGCTCGTCTCCTCCTCCTCGATCGACCTTCGGCAAACAGGGCAGGTGTTATGCTGCTTCAACCACGGTGTGACGCACCCGCCGTGGAAGAAATGGCTGCAGGGCAGAACAGAAGCCTTGTCGCCTGTCGTCATCTCGTCGACGCAAATCACACACCTTGTCACGGTTTCTCCGCCCATCATCTTCTCGTCGAGCTCCTTGACATCCAACTTCTCGATGGCCGTTTGTGAAGCGGGCGGCGCACCCTCTGGATTGCTCTGTTCTCTGAGTAGGCTCATGATGTGGTCGAAAGCCTCCTGGGTATAGGCAGCGTCGCCAACAACAGCGGCACCAGGGTTGAAGAGGGATGAGAGGAGGGAGGCTATGAAGTCCATCGGAATGAAGGTAGCCTCTGGCGGTGGAGCCGGGCCGTATTGCTGAGGCTCGCCCGAGGGGGGCTGGGTCTGCTCGGTCGCGCCTTCGGTCTCCGCTGTAGGGCTGTTTGCACCAGTTGGGTGTGGTGGCGAGGGTGCGTGATGGAAGTTTGGCGTGTAGATATGAAATCCCATGTAGATCGGCAGGGCTGGCCCCCCGGGAGCTGCTGCATCAGGTGGAGGGGTGTGGTCTGTTCCAACCGAGCCGACCGTGGTGAAAAAGGTCATGGCCGGACGAGGGAGCATGAAGATGAACTCCGGGTGTGAATGAGCTTGGCCATGGGACCCGGCGCCCGAGTTTGCAGTATCACCAGGGCTCGTAGCATTGCCGTTCGTGTCACTGGGCTGATTGGTTGAAGTGCTGTCTGCAGCAGGCCTCACCTCCGGATTGTGACTCGCGGCAGGTGTGTCGCCAGCACCAGACCCAGCTGCGTCCGGGGCAGAGCCAGCTGGCTGCTGATTATTGTGGAAATGCCGAGGATCATTGTCCGGAGAAATCTGTGTGCGTGTTAGCAATGTGTTTCCTGCATGAAGGCCGGGGGACTCGCGGACGATTTCTGCGGATGCGCTCCTGCACGCAGGACATTCGATGGCATCCGATGCCCGCTGCCATTGATGATGGCACGAGTGGCAGTACACCGAGTCCATGTTGTGTGTCGAGCTTACCTCTTCTCGAAGTGATGAGTAACCAGCTTCTGAGCGGGAAAAACGCGGGTGCGATGGTGTGTGGTTGTCAAAAATTGACAAGTCGAGTCAGTGATGGTAGTTTAGTTGTGTGTATCCGTAAATGGTCAAAAGAAGCCAAAGTGATTTCAAGCTGATCTGTTTTGGAAATTACGGGCTGCTAAAACCAAGGTGTGATAAACAAAGAAAAACGGCAAGACTTACAATAACAAATGCGGCTTCTTGCAAGATTTTTAAGGGAGAGCAACAAACAGGGCCATAGTTTTGCCACACTCAATCAATCGACCCGTGACGTCGCCGAGTTTCTGGAAGCTGCCACCCACCCGATGGCTTCGATTGCTTCTGACGTTGTTGCTGTGGGGAGACATCTGGCCAACCAGGATGCTCAGCCAGCCACATCCAAGCTCCCCAGACCACCCAACACACCACAGGGCTCGATGCGCATCCCATACGGCGTCCACTTTACAAGCCGAGGCTCAAGGTATCCAATCTCTCAACCCATGTGGTATTACACGATGGCACTGGCACGCAAAGTCAATATCTATGCGACTTGGGACAGGGTTAGGGTTCAGTTGTTCCATGTGTGGCCGAATCAGATATCACCCAATTTCTCATCTCATCAGATGGAAGACGGCCAGCTCGGGGTGGTAAAGGCTTTCCCTACCCAACACTGGACTGATGTTGAAGCGATGCCGTACTGTGGCTTATTGAAGAACATCAAACTTATCGTAGCTTTCGTCAGTCGGATCGGACTAATAAGAAAACCAGGACTGGCAGCATGTAATGAGGTAGTTCATCCAATGCAGCTTGGTGGGTAGCACCATGGTCGCATGGGTTGTCCAGATCACGCGTTCTCACCAGGGGTCTCCAAAGGTGACGACCCTTCACCCCGCACCCATCGCATTCAATCCGAGCTGCCGCCAAATGCTTTCGGCAGCCAATAGCAAGCGCGCTTTGTTGCAGGGCTTCGAGACTTATAGCCTGCTGACCCCATTGACATTACTGAGCTGTTCATCTTTTTTAACTCACGTTGACAAACAACTTGAGCCGCATCGAACCATTTGCATTGGGAGCCCAGACCACCGCGATTTCACAGCCGTTCTTCCTCATCTTTAAACAACTTCTCAAGTTACCAACAATGGCCCCAAACAAACCCTCCCCCAAATCCACCCCGCTCAGCCCCTCCCCCGACTACACCTCAGGCCACCTCCAAATGGTCCCCATCGCCCTCGACCCAGAACCGCACTTGCCCTACCAAGACGCGCCGCCGCCCTCCTATGAAGCCTCGACCGACAACCCCCCACAAAGCCAGGCCGCCATCCCCACGCCGCCAACGACAGCAACGCCCGCACTATCCCGCGCAACCTTGCCCAGCTCCCAGTACAAAAGCCCCGCCCCGATGACAGCGTCGCATCGCATGAGCCAAGCCGAGCGCGAGAGGCTCGAGGATTCCGATGGATGCTGCTTCAGCACGCGGGGCGGGTGCTGTTTCAGCGACATGGGCGGGTGCTGCTTCTCGTCGAACGGGGGGTGTTGCTTCAGCGATCACGGCGGGTGTTGTTTCTCGGACCATGGGGGGGCTTGTTGTTCGGATTCGGGGCCCGGGCGGCGGGGGTAGTGTGGCAGTGCCGAGTGGCGATGTTAAGGTATCGCCGCGAGCAGCCGGGTGTGGATAGGCGGCTGCAAGTCGGCCTCCCCACAACACCCCCCTGTGGGTTCTTGTGATCCACCACAGCCCGCTTAGCTCAGTGGTAGAGCGCATCACTAGTATTCGACCACGGGTGATGATGAGGTCCTCAGTTTGACTCTGGGGGTGGGCTTGACCAAGACAGACGATCTGTCTGTTTCTTTTTGTGGTTTGGTCATGGCGGTTTTGTTTTTGTGGGATTTTCAGGCATCCCAGGAACGAGGCAATAATGGGAGCATCAGAGGAAGATATCATGTTCCGGAGGCACGCCCGGTCCCTGTGGGTATGGGCTTTATCAATGGCCTTTTGCCGGACGTATCCGCCTTTGAGTGTAAATATGTAAACTATCATGTCTTGCCAATGCTTCATTTTCGTCTTGGCCGTGTTTCCGGACCCAGCTCGCGAGGTAGCGGCTCTGGTTGTGAGAGACAAGCGTGGGGTTTCACTAGAACTACGTACCGTATTGCCGGTGGTGCCTTCAAAGGTCAAGGAACGGGGCACAGTAATCACGGGGATATGAAAAACACACATGTAGGGCATCGATGAAACTGCGTACCACACTGCCAACGGCGGTCTGGGCTACTTAATTACACGGGGCTGGCGAGAGAAAGCTTTGTTGGCATGTTGATGGGGTTGACTGACTACCTGTGTTAAGCTATCGTGGGAGCCCCTAAATTTACGGAAGATGTAGGTGTGGGGTATTGGCACGTCAAGAGATGGGAAAGGCATCAAATGAGTGATTAGGGAGCCAAGGGAGGTATGTACCAAAGTTGTCACCTCTCAAAGGGAAGGCACTCGGGACACTGGGTGGTTTGGCTGCTGGATGTGGGGCCCAGCAGCGAGGCCTTGATATACCAGTTTCCAAGACCTGCTCTCAACCGCCCCCCTCGGAAGCCAATGGTCAAATTGGGGGGCTGGACGCCTGTTCGTTTAATACATCCTGAAGTTGCCCGATAGCGAGGCTCCAGGTTCGACTCCGAAGTAAACCCTTTACGGGTTTCGTAGCCGGCTACCCCGACAAACATCGCGGGTTAGCCGGTGAGCTTTTGCCATATCGCTCTTTGTTTTTATTTTTCAGTGTTTGGCTTTTGATACCATCAGCTCTGATGCCAACAGAAGGCACAGGATTTTCATTCCAAAATGGTCACCACCAGGGGCACACTAAACTCGTGATAATTCGCGAGATTATTTCTTTCCCCTGCGCCCGTAAGTCTACACTGGCAGAAATAGTCACACCAACTCAACAGACCCCCGATGCGCCTCGTCATAAAAGAAATACCCACCCCGATCTCGATCCCACTCCTGCCGAACCAGCCCCTTCGACCTCCCAGAACCGACACGATAGTAGCAACCAGGGCGGTCATCGGCCGGCCTCACGACAAGAAAATGCTCCGAAAACAAGAAACCACCCGACGAGGGGGCCTTCATAACCCCAAGGTTGACATGCAAAATCTTAACCGCGACCCGCGATCCGGCCGGGAACAGATAGTCCAGGAAACAGTCGCCCGCCCACCCCGGCGCGCCCAGGACATCGACGTGCTGCAGCGCGCTCCTCCACTCGCCCGACGAGTGCACGACCAGCGTCGCGTCCCGCACAAACGTGCTGACGACGAGCCGCGACCTTGCCAGCCGCGACGCGTACCGCGCGCCCGCCCACGTCTCGTCCCACGCCTCGACGCGCAGTGCGCTCCAGTTGTCGTCGTGGTACGGCCCCTGCGTGCCCAGCTCAAAGTCGCCGTCGCTACTAGTGCCGCCCCGCGGCAGCACCGACAGCCACGACCACGACGGGAACTCGCCGCGGCGGCGGCGGGTCGGGGGCGGGGGCGGGTGCTCGAGGGTTCGCCATGAGAGGCTCCACGAGAGGTCGTACCGCAGCGTCTCTTTCCAGCTGCCGAGTATTGCGGTGTCGACCAGCTCCTTGCTGAAGAAGTCGATCAGCCCGGCGATGGCGGGCGCCACGTCCGAGGCGTAGGTCAGCTGGCGCTGGGAGTAGGATTTGACCCTGCGCGTCGTCAGTGCCGCCTTCGCGAGGAGGGGATCGGGGTGGGGAGGAGGTTACCACAGATTCCAGGTCTGGTGCGCCGCCCGGGGCGTGCTAAAGTCAAAGGCGCTCACAAACTGGTCTCCGTCGCCCAGGCTGAGGAACTTGTCGGACCACAGCGTGCCGTCCTCGGACGTGAAGCACTCGCGGCACTGCCAGAACATCTGGCCGGCCGTGAAGAGCACCGTCCGCGGCGACAGCGCGAGCTCCTGCAGCACCCAGCCCCGCCCCAGGTACGGGTAGCGCACGTGGTTCAGCTGGCGGTACTCGCTCGGGCCCAGTCCTGCCTGGAGTACCAGCGTTTCTGTTCCGGGGGCGTCCGAGGCTGGAGAGGAGGCGTAGCGGATGCTGGTCAGTCGGTCTTTCGGGTCCTGGAGCGACGTCACTCCGATGATGCCCCCGTGGGCATCGGCGGCGGCGGCGGCGGCGATGTTGAGGTGGCTGCCGCGGTAGATGTCGGCCATTTTCGCTGCTTCGGCTTCCCAGTCGGCGCTGTCGTCTTGGATGATGCAGAGTGAGTCGATCCAGATGTAGTGGAGGCCCAGCTTGCGGCAGACCAAAACAGCATCGCGGAAGTTTAGAGTGAGATGATCCAAGGCGATGCCGTTGGAGTGCTCTGCTTGGTTAGACTTGAGTGTTTTCAGAGGCGGCTTCGATGTTCGAGGCCCCCAGCAGTGGCTGAGTGTTGCGTAACGGATGGATTGCCCGGTGAGAGTACACGACTCGATGAGCTTCACCATCTGAAGGCTCTCGACACTTGTCAGGTCTAGCAACCGCCTCGGCCAGGCGGATACAGCTTCATCGGCGCACCTCTTGTGGTGAGTTCCGCAGTCGGATATCCATTCCGGCACAGTCTGCAGCCTGAGGTCAAAGGTCGGATCGACTTCCTTCCACGCAGCTCGCCTCTCAATGTCTCATGAACAATCAGCTCCCACCTCTTCATCTCCACTCGCCAGCCAACCAACTCACCCTTGGAATCAACAACCCAATAACTCCCCGGATTCCCCAGATTGGGACTGGGGTACGGGAGCGCCTCCTCCCAGTCAAACTTGAACAGCCCCCTGCGGAATCCCTTCTCCGACTCAATGTGCAGCTTGTACGAAACCGGATCGTCCTCTATGCCGGCCCCCCAGCCGTTGTGACGCAACTTGCCGCCAAAGACATCGCGAAACACAAACTCGCAAAGCGAGCACTCCAATGCCGACTCCCTGAGGGCTTCGAAGCTGGGCTGGAATGGGAGTGTGACGTGGGAATCTTCTTGGAGCTGTCTACTATCGGGACCTTGCGTCCAGGCAATGGCTGTCTGGCAGGAAGAGCACAACGGCCTGCTTGCATTTTTGGCCCTGCTTTCGCTGATGACGGCGGCGCTGGGCTCGTTCATATTGCGGTTATTCTAGTGGGATGCGTGTGTGTCCGTTGGTGGTTGTTGTAATTTCAATGCGCTGTACTAGGGATTCAAGTTCAGGTTGCATCGCCGCCCAATGATGGGGTGGGCCACGGAACTCTGATTTTGTACCTCAACATTGCTAAAGTCGGTGCGACGCCCCCTTTCATTGGCCAAGTACACGAGAGAATGCTACAGTCATCACCACTTCAGATCCAAAACTTCCATATCTATCTCCAAGTCTCGTTTAATTATGGGATTCTCGTGACATGGAAATACTTTTCCATGTTAAGCACTCACTGTGCTGGCATCAACGGTCACACACCCATCACCTAAATACAAAACGCAAACCCCCTGCTGACCCTGTCTTCTCCCATGCCCCAAACTCCAAAGTCTAGTACCATGTATCTGACACCCGTGTGTTCATGTCCCTGCCCACAAGACGGCAGCCACAACCACCAATGTGACAAACGGACCGAATGACTGAATGCAAAACAACCTAGACCGGACCGACCCATCAAACTTGATTCCGAGCCCACTTCACTCACGCACCGAACCGCATCATTCACTCCCGACCTACTCGGTCGTGTCCATGGCATCCCTCACTAGCCCCTCGGCTCTCCTCTCCGCCTTCCACTTCACAATCCTCTGACGCAGTTCACCATCCGGCACCACATCATCAAGTGTCATCGGCTGGCGGGTATACGGATCCGTAGGATCCGACAGCAGATGCTGTGTGATGGTGCCCCGGTCCAGGACGTGCCTGGACGGCAGGATCACCGGGTCTTTCATTAGGATCCCCATGAGCTCGTCCTCAAACTCGGGGGGTGCGTCGCCGTAATCCAAATCCTCCCGGTCAAGCTCCGCCTTGGTGATTTCAAACTTCTTGCACAAGGCCGCCCACGCATCGAGCTCGTGGCTCTCCTTCAAGTGCTTGCTACGGAGAATGTAAGCCGTGGTCGACATGGTCGCGGGCTTGTACGAGCGGCCATCGTTGGCGACAGCCTCGATGAAGACGGGGCTGGAGCCGAGGTTGAGGTAGATGTCGACGATCTCGGGTAGGAGCGTCTTCGCGTTAAAAAAGTACTTCTCCGCATTGTCTACCTTCAGTGTCTTGGACTTGGGCCCCGTCAGAATTTCAAGGTTGTAGTTCAACATGCCAGCCAGACGCTGCACAATCTCGGGCATCGTAAACGCCTCGCTCAGCGTGTTAGTGAACAGCTTCATCATTCCGACCGTCTCATTGGCCAGCTGCATAAAGGATGAAGCCTGGCCCTCGGCCGTACGAAGCTCCTCCTCGAGTTTATCCCGGTCTTGCTGCGGGATGGTGTGATCTCTCAGCTTCGTCTGCAGTTCGTGGATCTTGGGGAACTTCCCAAGTCCTTCATCCAGGACGTATGTGGCGTCATTCATGAGCAGGTTGACGAAGCGGACAAAAAACGGCCTATCCTTCCTAACTGGGGGTTAGCATGCCAAAGCTGTGGAATGCCCTACCAAAAAAAAAAAAACTCACTTGCTTGACTGCACCAGTTGGCGCTTGTAGTGATCGTTCGTCCAAACGCACTTGATGACTTGGAAGATTTCGTAGCGTATGTTAAACTTGTCGTAGAACTGGGTGCTGGCACCCGTTGACTCGCACTCAATATAGAACTTCATGACGGCATGCAGGAGGTAGTCGTTCGCAAACTTGGTGCTCGTCATAAGGTCG